GGAGGTGTCTGCGTCCCCACCCGCAAACTCGTCGTGAAGAAGAGCAGGAGGGGAAGGGGTGGACGGGAAGGGGTGGAGGGGAAGGGGAGGGAAAGGTGTGGAGGGCCCCCTGAATGTGACAACGCCCTCACCTCGTTAATCATTGGCCGAGTCGTCAGCCAATCAGGTGCGGTGACGCAGTAGTCACGTGATAAGTAGACCACTGGCGCTTCTTAAAAAGGCCCCCCCTCCCCTCTCTTTGTAGCCTCTAACGACTCGTGTCGGCCTCGCATAACGGTAGAGGCGATCATCCGCAATGCGTCTATCTCTCTCGCCCCCCCCCCTCTGTCTGTCTCTCTCTGTCTCTCTCTCTCTCTCTCTCTCTCTCTTCATTTCACTCCTGTCCTCCCCTCTATTTCCTCCTCTCCTTTCTTCCACGGAGCCTTACTCAAACGTGAATATTATCCCGGGAGAGAGGGAGAAAGAGAGAAAGAGAGAGAGAGAGAGAGAGAGAGAGAGAGAGAGAGAGAGAGAGGGAGCACCAGCAGCAGCTTAATGAAAGAGATCAAAGACTTTTTCGCGGGAAACTAGGCAAAAAGTGGTTGCGTCAACAAAGTAATATGAAAATACAAAATTTCTTTTCAGAGCTCCTTCCGTCCGGCTGGCAGGAGGGGCGCGCGCCTGCAGCCTTATTCCAGGAAGCTGCTGCGGTGGAGAAGGAGATGAAGGTGTACGTTGTACTCGCCGCTGGGACCTGCTCCCCCGCGCCCGCGCTGCCCCACCCTTTCCCCCTCAGAGTCGCTGCGACGAGCGGTCCTCGGAATTTGAATTACTTCTCCGCCGGAGCGTGGCGGGGCGGGGCGGGGCGGGGCCAACAAATCCGAAGGGGCTAATAAAAGTCCAGTCACGCGGGGACAGTACAAAGGAGCCGCGCCCGCCCGCGCCCCCAAAAGCGCTCCGCATAAAATGAATGACGATCAGCGACAGAGAGGCTTGTTTCTAATCACAAGAGACGGGGAGCGCACCCGCAGACGGGCGGGGCAGAGCGAGAGAGAGAGCGAAAGAGGACAGTGAGATAGCGATCGAGAGCGAGTGAGAGCAAGTGAGATAGCGATCGAGAGCGAGAGAAAGAGCGATCGAGATCGAGTGAGAGCAAGTGAGATGGCGATCGAGAGCGAGCGAGTCAGAAAGCGAGAGCCCGTGGGTGAGTGAGTGAGTGAGAGAGAGAGAGAGAG